TTATTTTCTATTTAAATTTTAAGGGGTATCTACTAGTCCACTATGTAGCAATTAAAGAAAAATTATTCAGTGTAGCCGTTAAAAGCTAACTACACATTTTATTGTATTTCTTTAATTATCAGAATATAACAGCTAATCAAGTTTAAGAACCTCCACTGATTTAAACAAATGTCATTAAATAAAGCATTAGGTACTTAATTTAATAGATTTAAAAGGATTATGCACTAGGTGAGTCAACGATAGAGTAAAGTTCATTATCTCATTTGTTTCGAGGTTTACAAAAAATGTTAAATATAAATGTTATAGGAACAGTTAATATACACATTTTAAAATTATTTTAGAGATGTACAGGGTTTTTTCATCTCTATAACTATAAAACTCTCCTACAAAATTTTGGTACTCCAACTTCAGAAACAATGTCACCACTGACCATTTTTTACCACACTGCAATTTAACATTTGTTTAAACAAATTTAAATATCAAAATAAAACACTAAATCACCACAATACACCAAAACACTTACTTTTACACTGGACGCGCGTTTCGCTAACCATGTTAGCATCATCAGCAGATGATTAAAAAAATTTGCTTACATGGTTAGCGAAACGCGCGTCCGGTGTAAAAGTAAAAGTGTTTTGGTGTATTGAGTTCCAACCCTCAACTGTAAATTTAAATATTACCAAAACTATTAATTTTAGATATACAGGGTTGTTCGCAACATACGACACGGAGTATTGTAGCTAAACGATTAGATTTTTACAAATTGTAAGTTCTGGGTTCGTTGAAGGACTATTAGAGCTACAACTTAAAAATATTTTTACAAGATACAGAGTGTCCCAAATAAGTAAAAATATTATAGTTGTATTTTTTTAAATGGAACACCCTGTATATTATTCTATTTTTAGATTCTACGATTGAAATAAACGTAAATTTGATTAAGGTTTATCACACTTAAACCTTACCGTTTTTGAAATATTTTCAATTTTATGAAATTGCAGTAAAAATGTTAGGGCTTCATATCTCCAAAGGTATCAAAGTTTTTAATACTAATTATTTACTGAAGTCTACTTATTGATCAGATATACTTGTATTCATTTAAAACTTCCCAATATGGCGGACTTCAGTATGGGAGGCTTAAAAAACGAAAATCTCTAAACTGGAATCGACTGTACTTCAAATCGTTCAAATTGATAATCTGTGGTAAATCCAATTGAACTCTGACACTTGGCTGACATTGACGTTTACGGTTCCTTTTTCTAAATATTTTCATTATTTTTTAGTTTTTATTTCACAAATTCTACTTGATTTTGTTCTTTTATTTAACCTGCAACCTGCAGTACTAATTATATAGTTATAAATAATCTTTTCACCGATCAAGAGTTGACGAATAGGCTGGAAGATATTCAAAATGTGTAAATCGCTTAAAAACGTATTAGAAAACATTGGCTCGTTCATAAATTCGTGAAAATAAATTAGTCCAGATGTTTGTAAAAGGTATTATTATAATTATTTTGAGAAGTTTCCTCGTATCAGTAATTTTCAGGTTTGTAATATCTACTATATGATAATAAATAGATTAAAACTTATATTTCAGGAAACAGCGCGGGCATTACAGATTGTTGTAAATCAGTTTTAAAATATAAAGAAGGTTTAAAACAGGTTTAAAAGTTGAGTTGGTAGAGAAGACCTAAATAAGGTAATGTTGGTAATGGGACCAAACATCAAATAACACTTGAAATATATAATTATGTACAATAATTGTAAGTAGTTTTTATGAATCTGTTTGATATCTATTGCATTGTTTTTATATTTCTTGAAATATTTTTTTACTTTACAGGATACACAAGGAATAATAAAAAATACAATTACTCACTAAAAGCACTTAAGGTTTGTAATAGATGTAGTTAGAATATCAAACACCAAACTAAACCAAAAATTATGTTTTATTTTACTGGTATTCCTCACATTTGAAGGGAAAGTCATTTCATAAATAAGCAGGACATTGTATAGTACACTCTATATTAATAATTGTTTTTTATCCTATACTTGTTAGTTAACGCATCACTTACTCGGTATAAAATTTAGTACAGATTAACCTATAGTTGTGGTTGTGATATATTCTGATGTGTTTCTGGCAATTTAAAATAAGTTAATATTTAAACAAACATTTCTGGATTTCCTGGCAGGAGTGTGGACACAAATTTAATAAAGGTATAATGTGGATAATGTTCTGATTATTACAGTTTGCATGGATGTTTTGGTATGTTGTTATTTTTAATAAAGTATATTTAATGAGTTTTTGAGTATTTCTTTTTCCTTCAGAGGATTGTGTTCTAATCTTTATATATTATAAATTTTCATAAATTATATATACAAAATTTATTACCTTATAATTTTTTGCTAAATACTTTGTAGTTGATACAGTTTAATAGTATATAAAAGAACTATTTAAATAAGATGTTTGAAAATATATAGCTGTTTTTGCACACATCAATTTAATTTGTGATTAACTGTACTGAAAAAAAAAATTAAGAGAAATGGGGTGATTTATCAACTACAACATGAAAAGCATCATCCTATTTCCAAGTCTTCTATTAATTTCACTTATTAAACAACTATAATTATTCAATAATCTTGATAGTTCTAGGAACTCTCAGATATCGTCAAAACATGAAAACAAAATTCACTTCCTATAGTTCTTACGTCCCTTTAACTGAAATATAAGACACGGGGGAGTTAATATTCTGACTGAGAAAGTTTATAAAATACCTTTAAGTAAAATCTCTTCGGATCTGCGGTAAATACCTTTATTCTTATTAAATAATTTCAATAATCTATGTTTTTATTTATGATTTTATGACAACCACCTAATAACCTAACTTTAACGTCAACTTGACAACCCTGAAAAATGTTATTGTTAACCAAAGAGTAAATCAATTTCTGAATTCGCTAACACCAACTTATTTTTCATTAAAAAAAAATTACCAATTTTCGTAACTAGGTCGGCCATATTGAGGAACTTTTAAAAGAATAGTACTATAACAGTGTTGCAATAATAAACAAAATACTACCTTATGTCTAAAAGTTTATATTAAATAATTACTAGATTTAAACGGCAATAACTTGTTTAATTTAAATCGAACACTCTGTATATTTTACGAGAATCAGATGCACAATTTAATTGTCTATCAAATTGTATTAAACCACTGTTTACCTATTTCTTCAAGTTTTCGTAGAAAATGCATTTTCTTATAATTTAGATCTCATTTATCACTATACCCATGGAATATTGACATTTTAGATTATTTTTAAAGATGTAACAAATTTTCAAAGAGTACAGATACTAATATTGTCCATATAGTTTGCTTATTTCATTAAAAAATAAAAAAAAATGTTAAAGAGGACCAATTAATATGATCCTAGTATTCAAACTACATTAATTGACTGTTTACTTTGATTAATAATAATTGCTACAAATACTAAAACAATGAATTTTGTATGTGTATTAAACAGTGTGGTTAAAAGTAACACCTTATAAATTTTATTTTTTGATGAATGCTTATTTATAACATCAGAGACTCAGAGACGTTCGTTTTCATAACTTATTATTATATTGATTTCTGAATAAAATCCACATTTATTTAGATAATTTATTAATAATAATTTATGAATTAATACAATTAAGTATGAAATTAACTCTTTTTTGGGCGGAAATAATGGTGGTATTTATTTTTACCTCCGTAAAAGAGTATACCAATTTAATTGGTATACTCTTTTCCCAAGATTTAAATACTTTTATTTTTGTAAACAAATGGGCTTACCATATTATTATTTTTACCACCTGTACATTTTGTACATATGTGACTTAAAAAAAATTAAAATGTCAATATTCCATGGGTATAGTTATAAATAAGTTCTAAATTATACGAAAACTTGAAGAAATAGGTAAAAAATGGTATAATACAATTTGATAGACAATTAAATTGTGCATCTGATAAATACCCGTAAAATATACAGGCTATTCTATTTAAATTAAACAAGTTATTGCCGTTTAAAGCCAGTAATTATTTAATATAAATTTTTGGACACTCTGTATAAGGTAGTATAATTTTTATGAATGCAACACAATATCTGATCAATAAATAATCTTCAGCGAATATTTGATATTAAAACCTTTAATACCTTTGGAGAAATGTAGCCGTAATTTTTTTTCTGCAATTTCACAAAATTGATAATATTTCAAAAATGGTAAAGTTTAAGTGTGATAAACCTTAATCAAATTTACTTTTATTTCAATCGTAGAATCTAAAAATAGAATAATATACAGGGTGTTCCGTTTAAAAAAATAAAACTATGGTATTTTTTACTTATTTGGCACACTCTGTATCTTGTAAAATTATTTTTAAATTGTAGCTCTAATAGTTCTTCAACGAACCCAAAACTTAAAATTTGTAAAAATCTAATCGTTTAGCCACAATACTCCGTGTCGTACGTGGTGAACGACCCTGTATAACATTATATATAAAAAAGTTATGGAATTTTACGCAGAATCTAAAAATAAATAAAAAAAATAGGGCTCTAATAGCTCTAATAGTTCTTCAACGAACCCAAAACTTAAAATTTGTAAAAATCTAATCGTTTAGCCACAATACTCCGTGTCGTACGTGGTGAACGACCCTGTATAACATTATATATAAAAAAGTTATGGAATTTTACGCAGAATCTAAAAATAAATAAAAAAATAGGGTGTTGCTTTTAAAAAAAACATATATTATATCCGCCACACATTTTTGAAGTACCTTGTATACTGCATAATAATTTTAATTTTATGTATCTTAATCTTCCCTATAACTTCTATATTTAACATTTTTTTGTAAACCTTGAAACAAATGAGATAATGGACTTTATTATTGACTCACCCTGTAAACCTCAATTCTCATAATGTAACAAATCATTCCTAAGACGCCGTATACTACGCTAGGTATAAATAAAAAACTCACCAGTTTCATAATGACGAAGTTTGCACTTAAGAAGACGATCAAGTACGTACGTCTTACGCTATCGGATTTCGTATTTATACGAAGAAGATCCCTCCCATCAAAGAGGATCGAAAATCCTATTGAAGAAGATCTATCCGCACAGCTTTTAAGACGAATTTGTTTTTTGCAAGAATGATTACGAACGGTGTAGGGGATTACTGGAGTATAAAAGGTCGGGCACCTACTCAAATCAACAGTCGCCTATAAGGAGGATATTTTATTTTTTAAGCAATATAGCAAAAATAACGCAACTGAGAAACTTTTGGTCAAATTTAACGTGTTATATTTTTGTTATTTTTAGCTCTATTTTCATGATTTTTTAGCAAGTTGTATATAAATATCAATCAACTTTAATTCGTAAACTCAGTTTTTTATAAACGTTGAAGTATTTGGCATATTAAACAGGGTTAATCGAGGGGTCGTTTTTTTACCCTAACATTAAAAAAATACATTAAAACACCCTGTACAATAATTTCGTGTGTAAATTTTCCTAAAATACAATTTTGCGGTCAGAACCATGTCTTCTGAAAATGTTGTTTTTTGGATCATGTCAATACAGGCCTTTGTTAATTTTTAAGAGCGAAATGAACTTGCCACCAACAATTTACAATTTTTAAATTATTGGCGGCTCAGGTGATTATTGTGAACTATGTACTACCCTTATATATATATTTTTAATATAAACAAGGGTACTACTATGAACTGCCTATCAAATTCGATGTTTGGGAAATGCTTCATTAAATGCTCGTAAATTAATTTCGCTTGGTTCTTAAAGAATAATAGAAAAGCATTAACGCAATATGATATATGCAGCCTCAATGACAGTACGGACAGTACGTACAACGGACGTATGCAGGCAGTTATAGCCGCCAAGGGAGGCAATACAAAATATTAGGGTATTTTTTACAATTTTTTTTTCGGTTTGTGTACTTCAGTATTACAGATGTTTTCTTTAATATACTTGTTAGTTCTGTTATCGTTATTAATGTTTATTAAAACCATGACTGTATCGTTAGTCTTTAACGTTTTCTTTTAATTTAGTATAGAGCATCCAGTACAGCGTAACATGACGTTACGACAATAGACACCATCTCATCATATTAAAAAATTAGTGGTCCTGTGGTGGAAAAAGCACTAGGTCCCCGCGGTGGGAAAAGCTATAGGTCCCTGCGGGGGTAAAAGCAGTAGGTCCCTGCGGTGGGAAAAGCTCTAGGTCCCTGCGGAGGTAAAAGCACTAGGTCCCTGTGGTGGGAAAAGCCCTAGGTCCCTGCGATGGGAAAAGCACTAGGTCCCCGCAGAGTTCTTTTTAGTTCGTATTCGTAGTACCTAACCTAACCTAACTCGCATACATAGGTGCGTCCAGATGAACGACCAGTTTCAGCAGGGCTGTCAGATCTAACGATTTTTACGTTTTACCAATTGTATAATGTAGAATGAGTAAGAGGGGGGGGGGGTTGATCACTGCGATCTTAAAGATCTATAGTGCTCCCCTTCCTTGAGTCATCACACAATCTATAACTCATCATAACTCTGTTGTATAGGGGACAGGGTATTTCCCATCATCCTCTGACAAGAGTTCTTCCTCCGAGGGTACACACCCTTCCACGGTTGGAGTTTGGCCCTCCGTGCCGCTCTTCACAGTCTAGGAGCTTGCCTCCGGCTGAGTAACCCGTGAGGTGGAGGCTGGAAGATCTGTCTCCATTTTCTTCCACCTGATACCGGTGTTGTCCCGTATCTATAATAGAGGATATGTCCCTCTTTCTCTATTGCCTCTTTGGATTTGAGGTCAATTCCTATTGTGAGGACCTGACCATGACCCTGCTCCCTCGAATTGATGACTCGCCAACTCGATGTCCTTACATTGAAGTTCTGACCTTGGATAAGGCTCAGCAGGTAGGTGGTGTCTTTCCCCTTGCTCCTCGACAGAAAGACCGTTATGGCCGTCCCTTTAGAGATGTTTTCTCCCTTCACTGCAACCAGTTCCAGCCCTTGCCAATTTTTAAGCTTAGGTGCGATTTCCACCAACCAATTCGCCGATTCTTGAGATACACAATCTATGAGGATCAAGCCCACCCGAAAGTGTATCCCCACAAAATGCAGCTGACCTACATTTTGTAGACCGTTTTGTTGCGATCCGATCGCCACTAGAAGTAGTATAGATAGATAGCCTCTTCTAGAGACGTTTGCTGGTTGGTGGTCAGAGCAACCTCTTGGAAATCCTTTGGCAGCACCGCCATTTTCACTTGTCCAGCAATAGCGGCAAAGCTGATATACGTCCCTGCTTGCCCGGTGTTGGACGGCTTTCCATATCCTGGCTTTTTCTTCTCCTTGCCGGAGAAGAGGTGAGAGGTTCTCGCTCTCTCTCTTGTCCTTTGAAGGAGATGAGTCAGGTTGTTTCTTGGTTTCTTTACTCTCCCCTTCTCGGAGAAGTGTTTTCGCTTTTGCGTCCCCTAGAGCAAGTCCTTCGTGGAGCAGTCGGAGGTATCTCCGTGCTTCTGCTGCGCTAAGACCTACTCTCAGAGGATTGTCTAGCTCGCCTGGTTGACCCAGGCCGGGTACACGAAACGGTAGCTTATGTCGCTTATTTGGGTCTAGAGGTAGGCTCCCGACCCATGCTGGAGAAGGTGGTAGCTTGTGTACCACTTGTGGAGGATGATCCCAAGCAAGCGTCACTTTCATTTGTAATGTTCCCAGTGTCACTAGGGGGCTTCCCCACAGCTTCACCGGTCGGTGGTGTTTTTAATACTAGATTTCATAGTGTTCCCACAAGTCGCTAGGGATAGTCGGTCCACTTCTACAGAGCCCCGCATGCAGAAGTAAGGGGTAGAAATCCTCAAAGCCACAATAGGCCCCCGCGGCCTCAGTGGAGGGTCCCCCCATGGGACCCACTCTTAGTCAATACAAGGGGTAGAAATACAATGGGGTGCCCCCTGATGCCCCAAGGTTGAGGCCAGTAATGGCTAGTCCTCTATCTAGCCACGCATCCCTTTGACCTGGTCCCGCTATCGTAGGATTTAGGTTTTTGGTGAGGTTGTCTCCTCCTGGTCCAGGCGGTTAAGTCTAATCCCCCACACCCTCTACCCGCGAAACATGACCACAGTCAGTAGAGGGTGCCTGGTATGACGGACAGGGTAGCCCCGTCCGGCATCGTCATATGTCTTGGTGCAATTCCCTGGCCACGACACTACAGCCAGGAACAAGACAATGAGATGCTTCTTAGACCGAGCCAAAGGTCTAGAGGAGATTCCTCCAGCACCTGACAAGGAGCTTCCCCACCATCGACAAAGTCTTGCATCTCCTAGGGGAAGGTTTTACCAATTAGAAAATATTGTTTTCAGAAATTTTAAAATATGCGAGTTAACTAAAAAGCGAAGTTCCTATTCATGAGCTTATTAAATGTTTTAATATTAAATAATACATTTAAAATATTAATGGTAATTACAGTAGGGTACTTAGTATAGTTTTCACACATTGTAGAGGAAGAAAAAAAGATTATACAAGGCAGATCAAAAAGAAACTTTAAATATGCTTTTTTTATTTTTTACCATCGAAACTCGAAAGTATAATGACAGGTATCACACAACTATAAATAAAGTATATCATATAAAAATGTTTTGAATTTTTACTAGTATCATCCCTTCATAAAAAAGACTAGATTTAAGTTTCCCTTTGATCTAGTCTGTATACGATTTCTTTGGTTTTTCTGCACGTGGGCAAAAACTACACTAAAACACCATAGAAAATTTTGCGTTGAATCTGAAAAAATATTAATTGGGAAGAAAATCGGCAACAAGCTGCAGAAAATAATAATATTTTAGTGCAGTCTACTTGTCGCAGCGACCAGCCAACGGCCGTCATTAGCAGGTTGTTAGTGCGCGTTGTATCATTGGATTTAATGGTATTACAGGTGGCAGCGACCTGGTCGTCAGTGAGTTTAAACCCTTATCCCGCTAGAGGCGCACCGGTCGCACAAAAAATTGCCGCTACTTTAATTTCAAATATTCTCGCCCAATAAGAACAAAGATCGTAATTAAACTCCCTATTTCCTGTTCCTCCTCCACTTTAGTTTACCATTTTGTAAGAGAGGTAAACAAAGGTAAATTTTCACTTTCCATGTGTCTGTTTTTAAATAAGAAGTGTGTTTATCGAAAACTATCGATTTTGTTTCATAATTTTTAGTGCAGTTTATTATACGACTTGCCACCGTTGTGTTTTCCTTAAATAAAATTCACCATCACCATGCCGTCACTTTGCGGTATTTCGAAGTGCTATAAATACCGTAATCTTAAACTCTTCAGAGTGTTCAAAATTCTATGTCAAACTTTCTAAAATATAAAATAGATTTTATTGTTTCTTTTTAATAAACCCTGTATATTATTTCTTTGTTACATGGAGAATTAAAAAATGAAAACTTTTTGCATTTAAAGTATTTCAAAATTTTTAACGGTTTTGCGGATATTCGTGGTATTATATTACACAACAGTAATTTTTATCAAAGTCACCCAATAATTTTTGTCTGGTATTTTACCGTTTAAAAAGCCATATGTAATAAAACTGCGAATATTTGCGAAACCGCTAAAAGTTTTCAAATACAAAAAATGTTCATTATCCAATTCTCCATCTAACAAAGAAATAATATACACAGTGTTCGATTTAAAAAAAAATCTAAGAAAAACTATTTTATATTTTAAAAAGTTTGGCATAGAATTTGGAACACCCTGTATGATCTATGTGATTACGATATTTGTATCAAAGTAAATACACCCACTACAGTAAATACCTAATATTGTTTTGATTTCAGGACATTTCTGGTAGGTTTAATAATTTTTTTGAAAAAGGCTGAAAAAATATTTTTTTTATTTATTTATTAATATCTTTGAAACTATCAAAACATATTCAATAATATCTTAGGATTATGTAAAGTGATTAAAAAGGTAGCAAAAAATGCAATAATATACAGGGTGTGGCTCAACTTTCGTTTAGTTGAAATCTGCTATATAAAAAATGACTTTATATATGCGTTCTAGAAGGCGTTAGGAGTACAAA